TATTTAAAGCTTTTGATTCAGTGGAATGGGACTCGTTAAAGATATTAATTAAATATTTAGGGTTTGGACCTAATTTCAATCAGATAATCCACCAACTTTATTCTCAGAATACAGCCAAGGTAATAGTTAATGATGGTATAAATGAGATAATACACCTAGGCCGGGGTACAAGACAAGGTTGCCCCTTATCTCCAGCATTATTTACAATGTTAATCGAAATATTGGCACACATAATTAGAGAAGATAAACAGATTAGAGGGATAAATAATAAAGAGAATGGTGAGATAAATTTATTTGCCGATGACACATTATTAATAGTTAACAATCCAGCTGAAACAATTGAAAGGCTGAAAATACATTTGAAGGAATTTGAGAGTTTAACGGGGTTAAGGGTAAATTGGGGGAAGTCCAAATGTTTATTATTAAACCATTCAGATGAAGAGAATAGAAAAGTGAAAATAATATTTGAAGGTAAAATTGGAAAGGTTATGAAATATTTGGGGATTAATATTACTTGGAATGTACAAGAAATGATTAAAATAAATCTGGATAGATTAAAAACAGAGATAACTGGAAGGATAAAGGAATATCAGAATTTAAAAATTTAATGGTTTGGTAGAGTTACATTATGTAAAATGAAAATAATCCCTAAATTGAATTTTATATTTTGGATGCTCCCCATAAAGATTACAGAAAATCAATTAAAAGAATGGCAGACAATGATAAATTGTTACTGTAATGGAAATAAATGAGTGAGGATTAATAAAAATTATGGTATGTTACACAAAAAAGGGGGGTCTTGGATTACCGAATATATAGCGAATCAGCTTAGACACATCCCAGATATAATCAAGGATAATAAAGATTTAATTTGGATGGACATGGAGAAGGAAGGTATACAAGAAAGTGTGGAAAGAATTTTGTTTAAATTAAAAATTGCAGAAGAGATTAAAAAGATCAAAAATCCTTTCTTTAAAAATATGTTGGAAAATTGGAAAGAATTCAGAGAGGTATTTAGTCCACCGATATCTCCTTTATCTCAGGTAGTGGAATTAAGGAATTTTCCGGAAAATTTAAAAAATTTAAAGAATGTATTAAAAAGTAAATAGATAAGTAGATTAAAAGATTGGATAGAGAAGATAAGAGGGAAAGGGGATATAAAAAAGGTACTAGGAGGAGAAGGATTTCATGGTTAAATTTACTGTAATTCAATTACAAAGGTGGACAAGAGAATGGTATACTAAAGAAGGTAGAGAAATGACAAAATTTGAAGAGATTATAGAAAAAAGACTGAAATCAGAGGAAAAGACAGAAAGAAAAGGAACTGTAAGCCAAATATATAAATTATTAGCTCAAGCAGAACAGAGTATTTTAGGGTTAAATATGCAATGGCAAAATGATTTGGATAAAGAAGCAACAGGAGAGGAATGGGATAAAATATGGGATCAGAGAATTATGAAAAACATATCAGTAAGGATAAAAGAAAACTGCTATAAAGTAATATGGAGAGGGTATTTAACGCCGGTCAAAATGAATATAATGGATAAAAATCTGTCAACATTATGTTAGAGTTGTAAAAAAGAGAAGAGGACGTATTTACATATGTGGTGGTTATGTGAAAAAAGAAAGAAAGAATGGGAATTAATATTTAAAGAAATATCTGAAATAATTGGATTGAATATTCAAATGTCTCCGTTAATAGCATTATTGAATCTGATTAAGGAAGATCAACTGGTGAAAGAAAATAAGGATTTAATAGTAATGATGATTACGGCAGCAAGGATAATTATTGCAAGGAACTGGAGAAATGAAAATCAATTTAACTTGGAGGAATGGGATAGAGAATTATGGGACATTGCAATTAACGATAAACTGACATGTGATATGAAAATAAGCAGAGGCCAAATGAAAAATAACGATTTTAAGAAAATATGGAATTTATTCTTAGAACATGTATTTCAGAGAGGGAGGGGGTATACACCGAGAGAAGAAACAATGAAATTTTGGAGTGAAAATGGATGGAAAGAAGTGTAATGCTAGTCCTGAAGGTGCACAAGGGTAATTATATGTTATTGTTTTGTTTTGTATTTTATAAAGTTTTTTTTTTCTGTAGTAGTAGGTTTAAAAAAAAAAAAAGAAAGGTTCCTCGTGTTCCCATCGGCCTCCTCATCAGGCCGGTCCAGAACGCGACTACTTCTCTGGGACGCTGTAGCCTGTGGTGGCCACGGATGCCCTCGACCAGGCATCAGAAGGAAACCTCGGCCCTGGGAACCGAGTCCCATCAGTCGCCACCGTGAAGGGAGAGGCACGATGGATCAGTGACAGCTACCAGACGGAAAAGTAAAGGGCACCCGGAACAGTTCCGGCCATGTTCCTTCCTTCTCTGGCTTCCCCTCTTCAAGCCTCCACCCCCTGTGACACGCAGCCTTCCCCTCTGGGCAACCTGCCTCTTCCCAGACCTTGGCCCGTCCCCAGGGCACCCCCCACTCCTCCCCACCAGCATCGGCTGGGGCTGGAGCCGCCTTCCTGTTACCTTGGCAGGGAGGGAGACAGCCAAGGGCATCTGCTGGTCCAGGGGGTCAAAGGCATGCAGGGTGCCAAAAAGATCTCGGTAAACCCCGGGCGAGTGGACCTCAAAATAGACCGTGCCCTCATCTGCAGTGGGGAGAAAGAAGGACCTTTGGCCAAGGCTGGCCCTGCAAGGAAAAGGGGGGGGGTGTCCCCAAGAATACAGTCCAACTCCCCACCAAGGGGCAAGACAGATTCCATCCAGAAGCTCTGGGGACACCCACACACACACACACACACACACACACACACACCGCCATTGTCTCATAGAGTCTGGAACTCAATCCTCCCTTCCTTCAGTTCCCTCTTCTGTGCAGCAACTTTCATTTCTTACCCCTGCTCCAACCCTGGCTTGTTCCCAGCCAGCCAGCCAGCCATTCCCTTCTTCCTCTGATCCATCGGCCTTTTCCTTCCCTCTGTGTGCCATCAAATCCCACCCACCCCTCTCCAGTTCAGTGGCTGAAAGGACCCCCTGTTCTCTGCACAGGCTCCCCAACCCTCTCCTGCAGCAGCCCCCTCCTCTCACTTTTACTTTGGCTCCACCTGGTCCTTCTCTTCTGAGTCCCCAGGGGCCCCCTTCTTAGTCCTGATCCTCCTCCCTTCTAAGACGACCTCTTTGGAGCTCCCAACCGGTGGCCCGGGTGGCCTCTCTGTTCTGTGCCACACCTGATCCCCCCCCTTGCCCCTGAGAGTGGAAGAAGAGCGAATAGAGGCAATGTGCAAGGGGTGTGTGTGTGTCCTGCAATGAGGAGCCCCCAAAAAGGGCTTCTGTGCCATCTGGGCTCAGAGGGTTCTTTCCTCTGCTTACTTGTGAGGTAGACTGTGCTGCTCTGGTTGGAGTGCATGTTGCAGACGGAAAGGTGAGGAAGGCACTTGGAGATTTTGCGCAGCGCCAGCTGCACCGTGTAGGAGCGCGGCTGGTCCAGCTGGGTCTCGTTCACCACGAGGCTGTAGATCTTCCCTTCCTCTGCAAAGGAAGGAAAATGAGGGCAAGAGGAGGCTTCACCCATGCAAGACAAAGGAAAGAGCCACAGGTCGTGGGGTCAGGTTCCGGGGTGGGGCGGGCGGTGGCGGTCCTGCCTCAGTGCTGCTGGGCTTGCATGTGCTGTGCAGGTTGTCGCTCCTCACATCCGAGGTTCATGTTTGGGAAAAGCCATCCCTTGGGGTCCCACGCAGGACCGGCCCACCCACAGGAGACCGAAGCCGGTGAGCAAAGGGCTCTGTGCCCTGGGGGAGGGGGGATCGCACTCATCACAGGAACCGGGGGGCTGAGAAGCAAAGCAGAGTCCGCATTCCCACCCTCCCTCCTTAACGACAAGGAGTCCTTTTCTTTGCAGGCCTCTCAGCTGGCGAGAGAGAGGATCGTGGCGGTGGGAAAAACAGGCTCCTTCTCTGCCTGGGGAAAAGGGGTGGAGCGAGGGTGCCTGCCAGCCAACCCTTTGCCTGCGTACCTGTCAGGAGCAAGAGTGACCTCTCTGTCTCCTGCCCCACCAGCACAATCTGCTTGAACTTCATGGAGAAGTGGAAGGTCATCTTGAACACCCGCTGTCCGCTGGATTGCAAATAGACCTCCACGCAATCGCAAAGGCGGCTGCTGGCAGGAGCCACACCAGAGCCCTCGCCACGCTTCGTGGCACCCGCGACCGGCTGCTCCCGGGTCGCCAGGACGTACAGGTACTTGCGATACACCGTGTCGCTCCGAGGGTCCGTGGCAAACTGTAGGCAGAAAAAAGGAGGTGGCAAGGGTCATCGTGGAGCTCGGAGGCTGGAGAGGCTGTGGCAATGCCATCCTGCGGGAACCAGGAGGGAGGAAGCCCGCCTGTCGCTCCGAGCTGGTGGTGGCCGTATCTCCTCCCCACCGAATGGGCACCAAGGCAACGATTAAAAAAAAGGCAACAGAGCCCCTGGGGACCTTCTGGTATGTGAGTGTGTTGGCGGGGTGGGGTGGGGAGTTTGGGGTGGGGGAGAGAAGCCGCCTGCCATCACGGAGGGTCCACTGCCTGTTTCTGCCACATTTCCTGCCCTGCCACCAAATTCTTTTGGAAAACAAACAAGCATTTTGCTTTCCAAGGAAAGGGCTGGTGGTGCCCCTTCTCCTCCCTTATGAGACTCACTCGCACGCACATTGCAGAAAGAGCATCTGTAGGCCAAAGCAAACGTACGGCGGGAGACACTGGTCCTTTGGGCAGCAGAAGGCTGCATGTTTTGCTCTTCCCAAGAGAGGAATGCCGTTCTCCCATGAAAGGACACGACGTTGACTCCCCACTATGTGCCAGACCTTCTCCATATCTGGATCATGCTCCTTTCCTCCCCTCCCCAGATTGAGGAAGGTGAGAGACTGCCCCCCCGACCCCGCACAGGAGATCAAGACAGATGGAGGGCTGAGACACCCCCTCCACGCACACAGCCACCCACAGAGAGACTCCTCTTTCCGCTGCCCTGTGCCCCGGTTTTCTTGATCAGGTGCTCTCTGCACAACGGCTGGGCCAAGATATTCTGCCCAAAAGCTCACCCCCAGGAAGGAGAGGGGTCAAAAGCTGCCCGTGGCAGGAGGGACACGTACATCCTTGGCAGTGCGGCATAGCAACATAAAGCGGCAGGCCCGACGCCACTGGACGTGGCCCAGACTGGAGGAGACCAGAGCATTCTTGAAGAAGAAGAGGGTGCCGTTGTAGTCCAGGATGAAGACATGGTCCTTCGTGGCCAGGAACTTACGGTAGCCATGCGAGAAAAGTGGGGCCACCGTCTTGCTGACAAAGTGCCGGCGACCACTGAACATCTGGAAGTACAAGCCCTTGGTGTCTGTGGGATAGGGAAATGCAAGGGCGGGAGAATCGGGTCTGTCTGGAGGAGAGGCCTCAAAAATACCCATCCCGTCCCTTCCCTTCTGGAGGAGGAGGAAGGTCCGTTTGCAGGAGCCCTCTTTTCTCTCCTCTTCTAAGGGCCACCCCTGTGTCTCTCTGTCTCATCCAAACACCTGCACCCCCACCCCCACCCATGCAAAGAGGAACATTTCTCTCGTACAGGAAGGATTCCTAATGGGAAAAATTCCTTTTGGAGTACAGCTGTTAGAATCTCCACATTCTGGGAGATGGTAGTCCAAAAAGGGAAAAAAAGTAGCATACTTTTCCCGCCTCTGGGACTCTTATTTGCCACCTCTGGGGTACCACCTCCCTCCGCCCTTCTGCTGGCGCCCTCCACATCCCTCCCTGCTATACTGACAGTTGAGGATGGCCGATCTCTTCCACGGTCGATTTCCGCCCATGTTCTCGTCCCGCAGCCGGGAGGAGAGACGGTGGCAGATGCGCCGCCAGACCCCCTCACTGTCGCAGACCTCATGGAAATACCGGCAGGTCTGGCCCAGAGCAATGATGTCCTTCACCGGCAAGAAGGAAGTGATGTAGTACAGCTAAAAAGGGCAAGAGACCAGAGAGGCTCTGTCAAGAAGGGTGGGAGAGGAAAGGTTACTCCCAGCCTTGAGCAACACAGAAGGCCACACACCAGTTCAGGAGGGAAGATCTGGAAAGAGATGGAGTCTCCTCTGCCCTTCTGGTTTTCGAGGGTCTCCGTGGAGGAACTGCGGCGCTTCTTCTTGGGCTGCTGAGGAGAGAGAGTTAGGAGCTGTGAACTATCTTGCCTCCAGTGCTTTATTATTTATTTATTTATTGTATTTATACCCCGCCTGTCTAGTGGAACGACCACTCTAGGTGGCTTTGGCTTTACACCAAAGGAGAGAGGCCCCAGCTAGCCTTCACTTCTACTGTTCCTCTGCCTTCAACAGGGGCAGGGTGGCACCAGATGAAATGGCTTTTCCAAACAGGCATGCAGCACGACATCTGTGACCTGCCAAATTTCAGGCTTTGGTGCCCCGTTAAAGGCACCGGAAGCCACAAGGATGGCAACTCCCCATCTGGCCTAAGAGAATTGCAGCCTTCCAGAGGTTTTAGATGTGGCTGATCCTGCGATTTCCTCCTTCACTGGGCAAGCTAGCTAAGGTCACTAGGAGGTGACGGCCGACATCGCCTGGAGGGCGACCACGGCTCACCCCAGTCTAGGAGGAGCTGCCCACACATCCTGCCACAAATATCAGGAGAAGGCTCATCATCTCCTGAACATGGCACAAAACACGGGTCTCTGGGCTTCTTTAAGAGATGCTGTGATTAATTAAACCAAGACAAAATCACTTTCACCATCATTTTTATTGGTGGTGCCTTTGGAATGGCGTGGCTCGTATTAGAGAAACCTGGGTGCATTTCCTGAGCTATGCACCAGGAGGCAACCGTGACCTCCTGAAAGAAAAGAAGGGGCTCGCCTTTCAGATCCCTTCCCTTTGCTCCATGGGGCTGTTTGATGCTGTCCCATGAACAGGGCCTTTTAAAAGAGGCCACTGGCAGGTACAGGGGGGCAGTTGCCCTGGGTGTCACGTATGGCGAAGACTATAATCAACTGGCATAGGGCGCAAAGCAAAGGAGGGGCCCCAAACAAGCACTGTGCTACAGGACTCACTGAGACTTGAAAGGTTGTGTCTAGGAAAATCAGTTCCTGCAACAATTGTTCATATGGCTAAGAAAACATGGATTTTACTCTTTTTGCAGCTGCTTTACTAAGTTGACATCTGGACCTGAAATGTTCTGAGACATAGCCAGGGTGTGATTTGCCAAATCCTACTGCAATCTGCTTTCCAATAATTTTTCAGTATGAGGTGAATAAAAATGGTGACAAACTCCGATTAAGAACAACATCTGCAAAGAAGCATACATGTGTAGATGTCTCCAGATTTAAATAAAAAGCTGTGCAGATTGCCCCCCCATTGGACTAGTCAGTTTGTTTTATATTAATTCACCCATACCATCAAATGAGAGGGGGGGAGTGGGAGCCCCATTCAGCTAGCATTCAGGCTCAAGAAGAAAGCTCACCCATGTCAAGCTTCCACCCACCCACCCCTGCCCTGCAGAGGCAAAATATTGCATGCTCACTCCAAGAGGCTCCTCAGTGCTAGAGATGTGGGAGAACCGCTGGAGCTTTCTCCTCTTCAGTTTTCGGGCAATGTGCCTGTCGCTTATGTCTGCCCGCCCAGCCATAGCCTGCATGGTGGGAGTGAGCTCTCAGACCCACCCTTGTTGCTGGGCCCAGCATGGCCGAGGCTTTTGAATGCCTCTGCCCACAAAGTCAATCGCCCTAGGGGACATGGCACTATGTGATAATGGCCGTCTTGATGGCTTCACAGAGACTGGTGTTCCCCTGGTAACTGGGGCACTGTGACATCAGCATCCACTGGGGTCTCTCTCTGTGACCCAGGCGTTAGGGACCATCCTGATTCTGGGAATCAAGACCAGACAAGTGGTGTACAGAGGGGCCTGGCTCATGTAAAAGGTTCCGATTTGTACCAAAAGCTTGTGGACTGGCCCATCCCCCAAACCTTACATATGTGTGCACTAGGGCTGTGGGTCATGATGATGACAGGAGGCGGGGGCTTTCTTTCCTTGGGAGTTGTCATGAGTTGTAGCAGGGATGCTTCCGGCTGCCATTTCTTTTCATTTTCTTTTTGCAGCACCCAGCACTGACTGGACATTTTCACTGAGACATCTCGGACATGTCCGAGGCACCCCAGACAACTCTGCTGTAGCAAGGTGTGGAGTCTGACTATGACAGCATTGTTCAACATCCCTTCAGAGTTTACCTTCAGGTCAAAAGCTGCTGTCTCCCTACTCAGTGGATTCCCTTCCCTCCCAGAAAACTCAGGGATTCTAGATCCCCAGAGTTTTCACTTCCATTCCAGAGAAGACTGGTGTTCCCAGGCCTCCTTGAGCTTACTACTAATAAAGGCCACTTCAGGCTTCCTGGTCGCTCTGCTTACCTGCTAGTGTGCAGCCACAATGCAAAGCAGTCTGATGAGAGCACAGTTTTACTTCCTGTGTCTGCTGGTGACTGTGGTTCGTATCAACACAAAGCTCATGTTCTCCCAAAGAAATGCTGCTGGGAGAGAATAGCACTGGTGTCACTGTGCTTCATCCAGATACGGCAGTTTTAATATCTGCAACCTGGGGGGTGGAGGAACTTTAGCCTCCCACTTCTCAGGCTATGTCACTTTATCTGTCAGCCTGTCTACACCCACCCACAAAATATCAGCTAGCAAAGTTTCACCACATCCACTATTTCCTTACGTGGTTCTTCTTTCATGCCAAGACTTTCTAACAGCAGTTCCAACGACGACAGAGGAGTGCGGGCACCAGGCTGTGTAGGCGTATCGCATAGAGCAGCAGAAGGCATGGGTTGCTGAGCTGACGAGTGCATATGAGGCTCTGTCACACCATTGCGGTGGGTGGCATGGATGTACCGTCCCGCAGGCTTGTGTCATATTGTGACGCAAGGATGATGGGCCGGGTAAACATTTATGTCATTAACTGAAATAGACTTTACCTGGTCTTTCCACCTGCATCCACAAAGTGGAAAACAAGAGGAAATAAGCCAGAGATGGTGAATGTATCTATACAGCATATAAAGAAGATCCAGCTAGCAGGGATTGCTGCAGGCTTATCTGCTGCTCATGATCCTGCTGACACTTGCATATGACTCTGGGGCAACAGAGAGATGGCTTCTGCTACAGATGGCCTGTGTTACACCATGAGGGCTTGTAGGATAAGCCGTGTCTTCATGGCTGCTGGTCAGGTCCTTGACTGGCAGAATTGTGAGGGTCCGCAGCACACTCTAGAGCAGGGCTGCCCCTTCCTCCAGGGTTCTTCCCTCCTTGCCCCTAGAAAGAGAGGAGCTGGGGCACAATCCAGACTGAGAGACACAAGTGGAATCTTTGTTGCACGGTGGTGGTGGTGGGGCAGGTTAGGTTGGTCTGCGATGAGGAAAAGGCACTCTGCACCTGCTCAGGGAAGATGCATTTTCTCATGGCCGTTGCCACGGGCTCCTGGGGTCGCCTAGCTGGCTGTGGCAGAGAAGTCCCAGGTATGCCAGCCAGCTAGCCAGCCTCTCTTCCAAGTAGATTCAGGGGGTTTGGTTTTAGGCTAAAAAGGTTCTGCTCTCAAGGTTTGAGGGGGGGGGGCAAAAGCAACCCTGCAACAAAGCCTTAAAAAACAACAACAGGTGGTTTGCCATCGCGTGGCCTCTGGGAACACGGGCAGGCCTGCCCACGGAGTCCAGTGTGGCTTCTTGAGGGAACGGGGGCACCAGCACCTCATCTGTCTGTCCGTCCGTCCATCCGGGGTGGGGGTGGGCTGCTCCCCACGGAGTCAGAGCAGGCCTTGGAAAGGGAGCGCTTGCCTGGGCGGCCTCTCTCCAGAGGACCCGGAGCTGGCTGTTCCTGCCAGGCTGCTGGCGGAGG